CAGCCTGTGGAAGGAGAAGCTTTCTCTGAATTTCCCTTTTCTTCCTAAAGACAGCTCCTCTTCAGATGGAACTTGCTGTCAATACATTCCCCCTCACCCCCCCCGGAAATTCCATCGATCACGGAAGACGGAATCTTATTACAGGAGAGGAGGCTGGACGGCATCGTCACAAATTGTGTCATGAACTATGCTCTCTCCCGTCTCATCTACTAAGGAAGATGCATGCGTCTTTAAAAGACAGGGGAAAAGCATGGATTCTCCCCTGCTGGCCGACATCCCCTTCCCCTGTTAAAATGGTATTTCAGCCTGAATTGTAAGTAGGTCACTTCTTCGAGGCACTCACTTTTTCCCCGGATACCTTCCGTGTATACACAAGGTAAATGTGTTACTTCTTTTTAAAATAAACTTTAAAAACTCATAGTATAACATGCACGAAGAACACACACAAATCTTGTATGTCCACAGTTTGATAAATATTCCTAACTCAACACTGTCAAACTAATAATTTAACAACAAGGCACCGGAACTCGGACTAAGGGCCTACTGGTATTTGCTGTGGCTTCTTCACCACTAGGGGCTGAGTGAGAACAAGGACATTTTGTTGAGAGAAATTCGCCTATCAGCATCTGTATTTTTCTTGGAGACTAATAACTTTTTCTAGAAAGGAATCCTCCAATCTCGTGTCTGCTTTCAGATGGGTATAGTTTCCCCAGTCAGAGTCTCTATGATTTGACCTCTTCAATCAAGAAATCTCTAATCTCATTCATGGTGGAGATAAGGCAAGAGTGGATCTGGGGTCTAACTACTACTTCTATGTACTTAAAAAAAAAAAAAAAACCCTACAGTTTTCAATCTTACCTGCACCTTGGTCCTGGGTCTTTCCTAGCAGTCATCAACTAGCTTTAAATTACTTCTCCTGACACAGGCATTTAGCTTTCTCTACTCTGTTTTCCACATTTAAAAAATCTGCTGACATCTCTTATCTGCTGTCAATTTCTTTTTCATTATTTTTGTCCTTACCCTTTCTATATCATTAGCCCCCTAAACTCATTTCAATGGCTTTCAAGAAAACAGAGGGTAAATGCAAGAGTTCATTCTGCCAAGCTAAGCCTGAACCTCCTTTCCTTTGTTAGATACAGGCACCTTCAAAGGATCAGACATATGTCTCAGTTCCCTTCATCCTCAAAATCTTTCTGAGTTCCAGATCTATATTTGTAAATGGCTCTTGGGAGCAGAGGTCAAAATAACTCATTAACTTTTCTGAAAATCTATTTCTTCTTGTAACTTGGTGTCATAATCATTAAAGTTATCCACACTGGAAATGAATATTATCCCTGATTCTTTCTTCTTATTGAATCTCCATATATCTAATAAGATAATAAGGCTTGTCAATTCCACCATGAAAGCTCTTATTTCATTCTTAATACTCCACTGTCTGCATTAGAGTTACTCTCCTGAATACCAGTTCACTGTATTATACCTACTGTCTGGTTTAAACCTACTGTTTAAACCACTGTATCATACCTACTGTCTGCTTTCACCACTTTGATGAAACCTTCCTTTCAGGTTAAGTAAACTCTTCCTCCTCTAAAAGGTCTTGCATTTTGTTAACATTTCTCTTATGCACTTAATATATTTAGTATTTCTTGCAAATTTGCATGTTTAATTCCATCATGATAGCGTAAGAGTTTTAAGGAAAGTGTTTGAAGGAATCCACGTCTGAACTTACTCAGTACAGTTTATATTGTGCCATCAGTATATAAGGTAAATGAATGAATCAATTTGGCACTAATGATGGAAACAAAAGAAATAGAAAATGTATACCAACAGCCATAGATATAGCATATCTACAGCACAGCATCCATGACAACATGAAAAGCTAAAATGGCCCTCTACTTAGGCTTATTTAATGTTGCCACTACCAAGCCATCTCTGGTAGCAAAAACACATTGCTTCCCTTTAATGAATTCATAATAAAATTATTGTTATTCAGCTTCTGACAAAACTTTATTTCACTGATTAGAGAAAAATACAAACTTTTAACTATACTAATCACAGAAATGTCTTGATTCAATTGTATTTTAATATTATGCCGTCATTTTTTATAAAGAGTAAGTCACATTAACAGTGTTTTTGCATTATTTACAACATCACTGAAGATATTTATCATTATGTTTTATGTTGAATCATGAAATTGCCAGTATTCAACTGTTTTGATTTTTAAAAAGGGTAATTTCATATGGTTTACCTAATAGTTCATTTTTTAAAAAAATGAGCTATGCAAATTAAAGCATCTTATAATACTAAGAAAATATTTTGTCTCATCTGTCAAAGTAATATGCTCTCCTCACTCCCAAGATGACGATGACAATGTGCAGGAAGGATGTGTTCTTTCTTGCATCCTGTCAGGAAGCTCAGTGCTGAAAGCAGCATTCAATAGACTTTGTTATAATTATTTGTGTAAGTACTTTGGCTTTACCTTTTTCACTTTATGACTCCCAATGCAAACTTTTTTTTTTTTCTGAATGTGAATACTGCAGCAATTATGTACAGATAGATGTGACTAGTTACCTAGGGTACTGTGTTGAGAAGGATATGGCCTGAACTTGGCAGGGAAAAGTACCAAGGTCAACTGGTGATATTCCACATACATGCTGGACAGGGAAAAGCAGCTGCCACATACTGACAGTCCTAGGCCAAGTACTAAAGTGCACAAAGTCTGAACTGATGAGTCATTAGAGAATGAACTGTGAAGGCCAATCTGTAGGAGACAGATCTGAACTGAATTCAGAAATGAGAGGGGCATTAATTGATAAGAAGGATAAAGGCATTTCTGTTAGAGCCAATTAAACATGAAATAGATAATAAAATGCAAAGTAACAAGAAATGAAGTTAGAGATGAATGAACCACTTTAGCTTTTGCGCGGGAGGAAAGTGACATGAAGAAAATGGTATATAACAGCAATAATACCAAGCAATTTCTTTTTAAGATCAGAAGCGATCTCAAATATCAGCATTTTATTACATAGTAATATTTCACTCATGCACGATGCCAGAAGAATGAATGAAAAACGTCATCTGTGTAATATTCATGCCAAAATGTTTAAGCTAAATTTCATCACCAGGAAACAATCAGAATAAGTTGAAGACATTCTTCAAAGCAACTAGGCTGAATATTTATGTCAATGTTATGAAAGACAAAAGAAAAACAGAGAAACTCTATTCTAGTTTAAAGGGGATTAAACAGACAAGGAAACCAAATACAACAAATGATCCTTTGCTGGACCCTGGATTGGGGTTGCTAAAATATATTATTAGAAAAATTGAGGACTTTAAAAATGGACTACCTCTTAGGTACTAGCATTGTTGCACAAGTTTCTCAAATGTGATAACTGTTCTGTGATTATGTAGGATTATGTCCTCTTCTTGAGAAAAGAAGAGTATGATACACAAGTATCATAATGCCAGTGAGCAAAACTTTCAAGTTGTACAGTAATAAATGAGCAAATGTGAACGTGGGTGTGCGCATATGCATTTGTGCACACGTTCACACACGGGGTGGCTGTGAGGAGAATGTGGAAAAAGTAACAACAGGCAAATTTAGGTGAAGAACACACACATATTTGTTGTACTACTTATAATTTTTCTGTCTTTAAAAGATAAAATATCTTACATAATTTGGGTCAAATTCCACAGTTTACAGATATGAAAACTAAAAGCAAAGGGATTTTATTTGGACACGCTCACTCAGCTAGAGTATAGCTAGAGTTCCCGTGGATTTACCTTTCGGTCCAGAGCTTTCAACTACCTCAGACAGTAGCAAACATAAGCACAAAAGATGAATAAAAACAAGGAATGACTAGGGGCAGGGAATTGACTACCAAATAGATCTTCTAAACTATCTCAGCAGCAATAAAGACCTGGGTTTGGATCAACTGCCATATGGAAAGGAAGGGCAACATAAAGAAATAATTTAACAAAAACGACAGACTCAGTTATATACTAGAAGGAAAAAAATAACTGCATCATAAATAGGTTGAAAAGAGGGGGAAATAAGAGTACTAAGGATAATAAAAGAACAAATGAACTAAAATAGTCATTTAGGAAATGTAATGTTGAGACACACACATTCAATTAAACCAAAATGTATAAAATCCCTTCAATTATACCAAGAATAGTATAATATATAAACTCCAGGATGGTAGAAATTTTTGACCTATTTATCTACTGATAAATCTACTTCCATGTGACTTAAAGAATGTCTGAAAATATTTTTTCTTTTTTGAACGAATGAAGTTTGTTTATAAGACATTCAGGTACAGATATACAGGAAACAGAAATAGCAAATATAAGAGAAGATATCAAGAGATTTTCACTTTGTTAAGTCTTTAGGGACAGGGACATATTTAAGGTCTCTAGCTTCTTCCAGGTTAATCCAAGATACCAAGATTACTTCCAGATAAATCCAAATAAGCAATCCAAGATTACTTCCAGATAAATCCATTTTTCTTTTCCATTGTTCCATTTATGTACCTTCCTCTTGGCAAGATGTGTGGCTTTGCTTATAAACCATCTACCACCATCAAGATCTGATTAATCCTAACAGGTTTCAGCAGCTACAGCAGAGAGTTCAGGCGTATTCTCAGAACCAGCATCAAAAGCATCAAGAGTTGTCAGAAATGCAAATTCTTAGATTCCCCCCGGACCTACTGAATTAAAAACTCTGGATGGCCCAGTTATTTGGGTTTTAAGAAGATAATTCTAATGTATACTAAAGAAATAAGGACAAAATCAAGGTATTAAGCCCTTTAATTAACAAAATATCTACCCCATAGTCTAAGTCATTATTGAGAAGCCAGTAAAAATCTAAGACCCAATCACATTAAAAAAATTTTGTAATAAAATTTAGTATATCACTTACCTATAACTGATCATATATTAATCATACAGCAAAATCAGCCCACGAAAAAAAAACCACATTTCAAAAGGCATCTACTTACTTTAACGTTTCAGCAAGAAAGAAGCTCTGCTGAACATCATCATGCGTAGGAGTGGAGGAATACACATCCTTCACCCCAGAAAATCCGCTACTGACTCGGCAATACTTTTCAATAGCCTGTGGAGGAGACCAGACGAAAGCATCAATGCCACAGAATTTCAACTTTAGAAGGACATGCAAAGGAACTATAATCAAAACCTCAGATATTTATATAAGAACTGTATGGTTTTAGGGTAAGATTTATTATCAAATGGAATATCCTCCTACTGGAAAAATTAACTGAGGTATCCTGTTTCCTGTAGAATTTCTCCCTCACCAAAACTAATCATTTATGACACCTTACTTTTTCCTACTTAGGAATCAAGATAAAATATCACTATTCTCTCTCAGCATCAATAGGGGCTGCATCGGTTCCTGTGCTACATGACCACCACCTTCATTATTGTTGTACCTTACTGTTAAAATTCCATAAGGACTAGCTAGGTCTGAATGACAAACGATACCTACAGGTCCTGTAGTTCATAGTACAGCAGACCCTCTTATCTGCAGGGTATACATTCCACGACCCCCAGTGGGTGTCTAAAACTAGACAGTATTAAACCCTTATATCCCTTTTTTTGGTGTATATAAACATGCTTGTGATAAAGTGTAATTTATAAACTAGGCACAAAAAGAGATTAGCAACAATACAGTAAAACAATTATAACAATACGCTGTAATAAAAGTTAAATGAATGCTGTCTCTCTCAAAATACCTGATTGTAAACGGTATTTTTGGACTGTAGGCAACTGAAACCCTGGAAAGCAAAACAGCAGCTAACGGGGGACTATTATATTCTTAGATTACTGCAGGGTCCTCAAAACCTACCTATTTGTAGGTAACGATCAGATCCTTTTGTTGTTACTTCTCACTAAAAATCCTTTGTTAGTTCCTTCCCCTTGAAAGACCTTTAGGAATTCTGCAATGGTTCTAAAGTTAGGGAGATCTACTCTTATGAAAAGACTAATGATTTTCTTCTTCCACTGGTACTGACAGTCATGAGGTTGTCTAAAAAAAACCAGTATTATACAAGTAAACCTTGAAAAAACGCCTCATTTCAAGTAGATCTTTTTTTCTAGATTGAAAAATGCTGTCCATGTACAATAAATGTCTGATAGAAACATTAGCAAGTGCGTGTGTGTGTGTGTGTGTGTGTGTTGTCTTTCAATCTTAAAAAACTAATGTATCATCTTATGATGATTCATGAAGGAATTACTCAGAACACAAGCTGAAGTGAATAGGGGGCAATCTACACAGGCTGTGAGTTGGGAAGTTTGACAATGATCTATTTTTTTTTCCCAGAAGTTAAGCATTGAGGCAAAGAAATTGTGTAACAGTGAAAATTTTGATTGCTTCCCTATATTCAATAAGAATGGGCAAGCATTTAAAAGATAACAGTTGTAACAGAGAACTATTCAGAGGGTACTAAGGATCATCTTAGCACTTTAAATGAACTAAGGAATAGCTTTTCCATCCGATGAAATGAAAGCAGCCCTGCAAGTAATGAACATGGGCTAACATGGATGAAGATGCTCAGTACAACGGGGCAGCTTGATTGAACACTTGTGCATAAGAGAAAATACTTACCAGTGCTGCTTCCCAGCCCCACTGCCTGTATCTTGGATCATGAGTGAATCGCCACAGGTACCAATAGGTTTCAATTACTTCTGGACGGAGAATGTAATACTTTTCAGCCTGCCGGACCGCCACAGCCTCTACTGCACCATCAAACTTGAATGATTCAGGACCTAGTTTTAATGCTGTTATATGACCAAAAAAAAAAAAAAAATTAAATGAGCAGAATAAACAATTTGTTTCGTATTTGCCAGAGCTTTTTTCTCCTTTGAAAGAATGAGGTTAAAGTTATTTTTGTTATTTGTTTTACTTTAATTGCTATTTTGCAAAATCAATGACTAAAAGATCCACACTTGGTTTACTTGTAATAGACTTATAAATATACCTATTATTTTAACATGAAGTATTTCTCATAAACGATAAACATTAACATACTTCTAAGCCTATACTAACAAGAATCTTGTAATCCTTTGGAAACAAATGCAAAGCTAGACATAAGCACATTTCATATTCCGTTTTCATCTAAAGCAGTACAGATAACCGTACAATGCAGAATTATTTTTTAAAAAGACAATTTTAAAGTCCTTTCAAAATAATACATATATAAGAAAACACTTAAGAGTTCAGATCTTGAGTTATATTTAGCTGTAGATAATAAACTTTTTCAAAGCAAACAACAGTATTTAAGGAACAACATATTTCAAAACTTAAAAATAAATTCTCTGTAGCAAGGAAGAGGTTCAAATTGTCAGTCACCAAGAATTTCAACAATAATTTTACCCATTTGCCAGCTTGAATAAAACAAGGCCATTATATATATCTTTCAACATTGCAACTATTCCTTGAACATGATTTCCATTCAGGCTGGAATAAAGCGTAACATGGAAGACTTTTTTTTTTTTAAATAATAAGGTATTCTTTTAATTGTGGTAACATTAGGATTCTCTCCATCAGGTATTGCCACCTACATGGAAGACTTCTAAAAAACCTCTTTCTAACTACATCAGTACCCTAAACCTGTGTAATATAAACAAGGTCCTCCTCCATTGGGTTACTGGAGTCACAATTACCACTTTTAGCTGGCATCTTTCTTTCTTTTTACTTAGCTGTAAATACTGGCAAAGGTTAAATTAGTTTCAAGGTCTTATACCTCTTTCATACAATGCCAGACATTTTTATGTTTTTGCAGAGAAGGTAACACAAGAACCATAACGTTGGCAGTCCAGAAATAGTCATTCCATCGTTGTTGGCGTGACAAATGCTGCTGTGGCCAAATATCAGCATTACAACAGCAAACCCATAAGCTTCAAATAATCACAGGTCTAAGGAGGTGTAAGTAAAGCTGTCTTTAGCACTCCAAAAGAAAACCTAAGAAATAAATGCCCTCAGGGAAAATCCCAAGAAAAATCCCATAAAACCAAAACCACTGCAGTGATGGTAGAAAGTTCTATTAAAAGCAAAACATATGATCCTTCTCTTTTCTCTTCATGAAAAGTTTATAACAAATAAATACTGTTTACTTATCTATGACTGTATGTATAACTATGCTCTTATATATATATTTTTCACCACCAATTTTTGTCACTCTAAGAATCACCTCATATTACAGATAAGGACACTGAAGTCCAGAAATACTACATATTTGCCTAAAGCAGGCATCAGAGGGCATTTTTTAGTGAAAGGCACATAAGCAACTCATAACTTGTTGGTAATAAGACAAATTATTAGGTCACTGAGAAACCAATTACACATTCAATATAACCACTATTATCTTTTGGTTAGTCTTACTTTCACAAGAGGATAAGCAAGGCATCCTCTAAATCAGTCAATTTTGTGTTCTTTTAAGTAACTGGTTTAATTAAATTTGGAATGAATGGCTAAAATGAATTCTTAAATAATAGCAAATGTATATTCTATACATCCTCAAATACCCTACCTCTTGTCTTTAAAACAATTACTGCAAAATCTTTATTAACAAAAACAGTAACAGCTTTCAGAATAATTTAAAAAATGATGCAGGAACACATTTCCAGAATTAAAATTTAAGTTCTTAAGATTACGATTCACTGTGTTAGAATAAACTGATAAACTGTTTTCCTTCTAATTCCTGGACATAGTTTTAACTTAGAGGTTCTTTTAGCTAATTAATTAGCTTTACTAACAGTCTTACCAGTTCTGTCATAGGATTCATGACATGTATGTGCAATTTCGGCCCCTAGCTCTAAATAATGGCCAGCTTTATCAGTTTTGGAACCATCTGCTCCGAGTGCAAACATTCCCCCAGCAAAGCAAGCCAAATGCCCCATCTTCTTCTCCAAGTGCCCATTCTTCCATTCTCCAATAAATGTAAGACCTCCCCGGGACTTCTTAATAAGATGTTTTTCTATAGCCTACAAGAAAAAGTAAATATTTAAGATTTTAAAAGCAAACTATGTTTAAACTTCTTATATCATTTTGGCTACTGTTAAACCTTGATAATAACAGGATGTCTTGAAAAACAGTAACTTTCCTAAACTGAACACTTAATTCATAATAAGTAAATTTTGGCGTGAGTAATTAAGTTGCATCTAACCTTGAAAAAATATTCCTCAGTCAATACTGTAAAAAGACACAGTAGGAGAGGGAAGACCTAGTCTAAAGGTCACCTTTTAAGATAACACTACGCATTTTAAGAATTTTTTATTCTTGAACTAAATGAAATTCATAATAACCAGTCAATGGAGATCATGAGGACAAGGTATAACTAGTTTATACCTTCCTAGTTTATTTTCTTTCCTACAACATAAACTAAGTAGGAAAAACTCCTAAGTAAATCAGAAAAATACAATTTTAAAAATTAGTTAAGATGGTTTCTATTTTTCCAGGTATCAATAGCTATACCTTTTGTCAAAGTAATTTAAAAAGGTACAATTAGGTGAAACACGTTATGTTATAAAGCTTACAGAACTACCTGGAAGTTCAACCTTAGCTTCTTAGTCCCTTACTTCGCAAACTCAGGCACTTGCTTTGCTTGCTGTGCCCGTGACTGGGAGAGGCCTACTGAAATGTGGATTTACTCAAAAGGTGTGAGTGATGAAGTAGTTTATATTAAACTTGAATATGACAAGAAATAGAGTTCAACAATCATATTTAATTTTAAAATGAGATTTTTAAGAGATTTGTTCCTCGCCGCTAAAGCTCTCAGACTAATGAAGAGGTTATGGATTAGAAATACTCCTATGGAAAAGTATAAGAAAATTGCATTAATTCACTTCTCTTTGGTAGAAGTTACTATAAATGACTAGATACTATACTTTTCTGACAATAAAGGAGTTTAAGTATTAATCCACATTTTTATTATGGGTTATTTTCTGACAAGCTCAGTAAAAATCAGCTTTGGAAAAACTTACTCTGTATTTTTTATAATTAAAATGTAAGTTTTGCAGAACTATAGGGACTTCGCCTCATTTATTGTCTTATCCTCCGCAATGTCTGTATGTGTAATACACACTCAATAAATGTTAAATTAGCAAGTCTTTTTATAAATAAACAGTACTCTTAGTAACTGTTTGGTCTATTGGGGAATACAGGGTGATTGATAAGCAAAATGATAAGGAACTACCACTGGATTTTAAGTTTTTATTGTTGTTTTCTTTTAACCATAACACTATGAAGCACAAAAAGAAAGAATTCATTTTTTCAGTTACAGGGACAATGACTTTTATCTTTGCGGACCTCATGGCATATAGCAAGTTTGCTAGATGTAAGGCATTCAATAAACATATATTTAAATATCTATGGTTTGGGTTCCAATTTCTGTATATTTTTGTCATTTCTATTCTTTTTAACATTAATCTTACTTTGTTATAATTAGAAGATATACAAATATATTTTAAAGAATTTACTAGAACTAAAGTAAATGGTGGGTACACATAGGGGTTTTTAACCAGTAATTCACTTATGAACCCCTGAAATTTCCTTTACAGCTCTGTCTCTATAAAAATATGAAGAATGTCTAAGAGTTCAATTTATATAAATGCTGAACTATGGAATGGCAACAAGGAGTAACATTATTGCTCTTCTGTTAAAAAGTGTTAAAGAAATCTTCACAAATATTGACACTACTTTCTTGTCCCAAAATGATCTTTAAAAAGCATGTTTTGCATCACTATTTTATTTATTTATTTTTTTTTAAAGATTTATTTATTTATTTATTTATTTATATAAGTACTGGGTACAGTCAGAAGCACGGGAGGGTGAGAGAATTCACCAGAGCCAGAGCGGAGAACAGAGCAGGCAGACAGACGAAGTACACTGCTGAGGGGAGCAGCAGGTGCGGCAGGAGAGGTCTGCACGCCCACATCACTATTTTAAAAATGAAAGACTAAATATAAACTTGATTAGAAAATAAAACCTATAAAAAAACAAAAATTTTTTAAAAAGAAAGCGAAGATGGAGGAGCCAGGAATAAGGGTATTTGTGAGTACAGAGGAGAATGAGATGGGAATGCATTCAATGAAAGAGGTTTGTTCAGAAAGGCAGATTTTAAATATGACTTATCTCAATTAGAATGAAATAATCTTTCCTATTGCTTCCTTACAGTCCATGTCATTAATCTTACAATTTGTGTATCGTGTCTCCTAGCAGAATTAATAATAGTTATTGGAGTTAACAAAACACACACTGCAAAAAACTGCACCCCTGAGATCATGTCTTGAAATTAAAGCTGGTCAAGTGATTATTTAAAAACTTAATAGGAGCCCATTTTAGACTTAAGAACTAATAAAAATAGGACAAAGAAAACAATGTAGAAAGATTCTTACAACACATAACACACAGTTAATTCACAGAAAATGATTTTATGAGATTAACTTTCAAAACAGGTATCATGCCTTTCAAAGTACATACAGTTAAAAAGGTAATGACAAATCTAATGTTCCTTTTCCATTAGGAAGACTTAAACAAAGTGAAACAAAACAATGGTTTTAGATTTAAAATATTACAAGAAAGCATCCAACTATGAAGAAAAAAATGATTAGTTGGTATATGACAACACGCTTTCTCACAAATAAATCTATTAGTCATTCATTTATTAAATATTTATTGAACACCTGTTATGTTTCAGGTATTGTGGCAAGTGAAAATGATAAACACACACAGTCTCTCAGTCTACCGGGAATGACTAAGGGCTACTCCAACACTATGATTCTAATACCTTTACATTTTTCCTTGATGACTTTTCTAGGATGACAAAGATATCTAGGTGGAAAGTTTAATAACAAATGAAACTCCAACTTTTTAAACTGTAATACTTTATAAAGAATTTTATAAGCCACACACTAAAATGTAGATTCTTGGTCACATATCCATAGCTGAATTTCTTAGCACAATCTCTCAATAAACTTCTACTGAATGCCTACAATGGGCATGGACAAAGAGCTACATGCCACAGACTTGTTTGCCTCCTATACATTTTTATAAGCAATTTATAGGGATTTAGTGCCTTAAAAAGTAAGGGATAAAATGGGTAATAACATACTTGGTTTAATTTAAAGACAAAACAACAATTATAACTCAGAATAATTATCACTGGCTATAGTTAGAATGGTAGTTATCTACAAAATATACTATTTTAAAAAATAATTAAAATTATTTAAAGGACATGGGTTTATATTGGATCAGAAAGAAAACAAACTTACTAATTGCTTAATATACTTTTCTCTCTCAGTTTGTGCATGGAAACAACACATGTAAGTGTTTCCAAGAATGAGACTTGCTCCAATTTTAAAATGTCACAGCACTATGTTCTGAAACTACACAGGTCAGAGGTTGTGAGAGCAAGTTCTGAAGTTAGATTGTGCAAAAGTCACTTCTCTGTCTGTGCCTTAAGGTCCTCATGTGCAAAATGGCCATAAAGATTAAGTAGTTCCACGTATGTAGAGAGGTTAGAGCAGTGGCTGGTATGTGAAAAGTACTATGCAAGTGCTTGTCCTTATTGTTTACCCACAAGATACTCAATGTGTGGATTCAATAGATCATTTCAGAGAAGAAATGTTTATGGAAATGTGTGTCAAAGTTTTTCCTGTCTCCTAGATAATAACTAAAAGTAATTACAATAAATTTTCATAAATATGCTACACTAAATTCTTTCAACAATTTCTTTCTTTTCTTTTTTTTAAAGATTTATTTATTTATTTATGCAAGCACTGGGTACAGTCAGAAGCGCGGGAGGGTGAGAGAATTCACCAGAGCCAGAGCAGGGAGCAGAGCAGGCAGACGGACGAAGTACACTGCTGAGGGGAGCAGCGGGCGGCAAGAGAGGTCTGCACGCCATGTGGGACACTCGCCCAATGGCCGGGGATCGAACTGGCGCTGCAGAGGCTGCAGGCAGCTTCGCAACCCAGTGCTCAACTACTGCACCACCGGGGAGGCCCTCTTTCAACAATTTCTTTTAAAATACCACAAAAAAGGTAAACTTAATAAGACTTTTATATTAAAAGACTTAACAAACTCTATAGTGAATACATCTGACAAAACAGAAGACGCCCCTCAGTCACTGTCAAATATATTGTACATTAAACATGCTAACTAAAAGAGAATTCTGACAACAATTACCTCAATAGCATCATCATACATCTTTCTCGCCTCATGGTCTGTTTTATCTGACATCAACCATGCTTTCAGTAAGTATTCATAAAAACTGTCTCCCAGGCCACCGACTGATGTGTGATCTGTAACAAAAGAGAAAAGGGCATAGGTAAAGGAAAGAAAGGACAATTCAATAATGTTTAAAGTTCTAAACTAGTGAGTTTAAAAATTACATTGACATGCCTATTTCCAACATAGTTTGAACTTAGCCCACTAAGAGCACACTATAATCACTCTCCTCTGCATATGTACCCAATTACCTACAAAAGATTTTTCTGCTGAATGTGGCATCTCATATTTAGTCTTTCTCTTCAATCACATAGCTTGCACGTTCACACATCCAAACTTTTCCAGAACTGCAAGTAACTATCTTTCAAATATTAATGGCTTTAGTTATATAGGCTATAATTACATATAAGAGATATATTTAAATCTGACAGCCAAGGGGAGCACACTCAGACATTTTTCTTAGGATGGTTAATAGTAATTTCTGTGCTGTAGGTAGCAAATTTTTCAAAATCTAAAAGAAAATACAAGAATTCCTGTGTAACGTCACCTTGCATAATACAGTAAGCTGTTGAAATGCTACTTTTATCGTATTTATACAACCACCAGTATTTATTTGTTTGTCCTGGGTTTATTCTTGCTCCAACCCATCTATACTTATAATCCTATCCAATTTAGCACTGTAACTCCCAAGGCAACCATACTCCTTTATCCCTGACTGCCTATAAAACTACATTCTTGACCTTTGTTTTAACATTTACATCCTCCCTGCATGAAAAGAAAAATAATCACATTTCTTATAACCCTTCAATCATTCATATAATATTATCAATAGTTTTTCAAATTAAGGAGGAAGGACAACTTTGTGGTTTATGGGAACAACCATAAGCCTGCCTGCTCGTGAGAAACTCACAATACTATTTATATTATTAGCTCACAAAAATAAATTTGGGTTGAATTTAAGTTTGACTTCCTAGCACAAAACCTTTTAAAAAAACATAGCCAGTGTTTAAGCAATGTCTGCTGATAGGCTAATAATTCACTTCCACCTTACATAGCCTATGTCTCAAAGGCTCTTATTTCTCACTTTCTTCCTTGACCATAAATATACATGCATATGATAAATTTTCACATATACACCAACAGAAACCACCACCAAGACAAAAATACACAGCATTACTAGCATACCCAAAGTCTTCCTCATATGGTTCTCAGAGTCAGTACTCACCTCCAAGGATAGTTTTTATGACCTCTATAATCACCAGAGATTTACTGTGTTAAGTTCACATAAAATGGTTATTCACTTCCAAATGAAGTTACTTTGTTACTTGTTACTTCATCGATCTCCTTTATTATGTCTAAATATTTAGAAGGAACCCTCTGTTTTAGATACACATTATTCTCTAACATTAAGTGATGAGGTATCAGAGAAGACACTTAGAGGAGTAAAGGACAGAGTTATAAGTCTAAGCTACAGACTGCAGAAAAAAATCACAGTTAAATTTCTAATAGCTTCCAAAACTCATCATACTTACATTTAAGAGTTTTATGATGGGAGTAATATATAATGATAGATTTAGAGGGCAAATTACACTTAGATGTTATTTAAATATTTTATAATCACAAAAAATTATAAAAGATAACAGAGACTTGTAAAATATTAAAACAACATGAAATGAATAGCATGTACGAGTCTAGCCTCTCATTCTTATGAGGCACTTTGTACAGTGTCATGATTAAGGATGCCTCCGGCACACATTATTTGGTAATAAACCAAAAGACAGTGAAATTATTTGGAGAACCACTGTTTTAAAACAGCTGTATCAAAACAACCATGACAAAATATCCCCAGATAATGTAATTATGTCAAAATGCCTTGAATGACTCAGTGGACGATATCGTTACTAGCTGCCCAGTCTCTTACTGGGCTTGGTCAGCTGTGTGAATCATGCTATATTTTACTTGTCTTTACCTTTTAAACACGACCCTCTTACATAAGCTTCTTTCCTCAGATTTTCTAGTTGCCTTCCTATTGTCCCTTATCTTTTTACCATTTTTATTGTTTCCCAGCATCTCAATTACACTTTCATTCAGTCACTGCTTTCCTTCTTACTCCCCTAGAGACCTTCTCCCCAATCTGGTTATTCTCTAAACACACTATACAGCTATCATCTGGAGCTACTTGTTTTCCTGAGACCAATTATTTCCACAGTGTTATGTCTTAGTTTATACCACATTTACTGAATCATATTCTTCTACAATTTCCCAATAAGAACTTATTACAGTATCAGCAGACATACTGATTAAACCATGCTGTCTGAAAATGTCTTTATTATTCTCTCGCACTTTTACTCTATATAGGTAAAAAATTCAATATTTGAAATCATTTTCCCTCAGAGCTTCCTGCAGATACTGTTCCAATGTCTTGTTGTATCAAGTATCATTAGTGAGGAATCTGATGTTATTTTATAGCTCAATGTAGCCTCACTCCCCCTCCTCATACTTAACTCACCTTTCTAAGCTTTGGAATCTCCATTTTGACATTGGTTAAATTTAAGTACAGTCTCCCCTGCACCCCTGTATTCATCATGCTGGGCATTTGTCCAACTAAATATTGCTATCTTTTAGCTCTGAGAAAATTCTCTTCTATTATTTTCTTTGATTATTTTCTTCACTTCGCTTGCTCAGAACTCTCTCCTGAACCTCTTATGAGTTGGAAATTGTCCCTGTTCTAGGTGCCAGAAATACAAGAGTAAGCAAAACTGACAGGACTCTGCCTTCACGGAGTTTGAATTCTGTTGTGATACAGTCTCTATTCATTAAAATTAATGAATCAGCAATAACAAATATCCTATATTTTCTTGACTTTGGTCCTAAGAAGATGTAGACTAAGCTTTGCACTTAGAAAACCAGTGAAAATATAAAGTTAAAAAAAGAGAAATAATAATGATGTGCCTTTAAATCTAGGTTCCTTACTATGTTCTTTTATGTGTGCTGCCAAGTGCTTTTCCTGAAGGTAATTACCAGTAATTATTTTCTGTGATTGCTATGTGCATGTCACAGACATTATCATTACTCTAATTATAATACAGTTAGCCAAAGCTGAATTGTTAAATTTCAGTTCAATTCACTGTTTTGCAGACTATTTATAGACATGACAGATGTATACTGCTCAAAGATAATAATGGAATTTGATATACTTTGCAGAGTCTGATGTAAAATATACAAAAAAATTAAAAGGAACAAATTGGACAATTTAGTAAGGGCCACAGCTGCTAAAGCGATATCAAAGCAGCTCCCCTAGGATTTTAAAGACCTCTTGCAAAAATAACCAGTGAATAACTATAAATTCTTAAAATTAATTAACTGCTGAGAGTGAATATATTCTGAAGAACTAATCTGAATTTATTGGAAAAAACAGGGATGAATGAAAAAAAAATCTTTTTTGCTTACAATTTCTTTTATTATGGTGAAATGTACATAACAGTGAAAGTTGCTATTTTAACCACATTTTAAAGTATAACATTTGGTGATATTAATTACATGCACAATAATGTTCAACTATTACCACTGTTTCCAAAATATTTCATCACACCAAAAAGAAGTTTATAAACTCTGAACAGTAATTTTTCATTCCTCTCTCACCCAAATCTCTGGTAGTCTAATCCACTTTCCATCTATGAACCTGACTACTCCCGATACTTGATATCAGTGGAATCACATAGTATTTGTTCTTTTGTGACTGGCTTAGCATCTGTGTTGTAGGATGTGGAGGAACATCATTCCTCTTTACAGCTGAACAATATTCCATTTTGTGGATATATCACATACGTCTACTCACTTGTCTGTGCTGAAGTGCTGGGCACTTTAGCTGTTCCTTCTGGCTACTGTGAATAGTGCTGTGTGAACACTGACAAGCGACTCTGTTTGAGAAACTGTCATCAAATCTTTGTGTATATACCTAGAGGGTGAATTTTGGGTCTCATGGAATCCTACGTTTAATTTTTTTGAGGAACCACTGAACCTCTTCTCACAGTGGTTGCACTATTTTACATTTCCATCAACAATGCACAAGGGTCCAGTTTCTTTCTCACACACACAGACACACACCTTCTGTCGCTGACTACAGCCATCCTACCAAGTGTCAAGTGGCATTTCATGTGCTTCATCGTGACCTGCATTTCCTTAATGACTAACATCGCTAGATCATGTCACAGACATGTACAATGTGAGCTCTATTCCACATGCTGCTTTTCCATTCCCTTTCTTCTTGGGAAAAATGTCTATTCTGGCCATTTGCCTGTTCAGCTATTCGTCCTTCCTTGTTGAGCTGCCAAAGTTCACTCTGCGGGTTTTTACTCTCAGGATAGTGCCATCTGATACACAAAAGTTTTCAATTTTAGTGAAATATAATGTCTCAATTTTTTTAATTGTTGCCTGTGCTTTTGAAGTAATATAGCCAAATCCAAGGTCATGAAGATTTGTCCATGTTTTGTTCTAAGAGTTTTATCAGTCTGGTTCTTTATTTTTTTTTTTTTCAAAGATGTATTTATTTATTTACACAAGCACTGGGTACAGTCAGAAGCACAGGAGGGTGAGAGAATTCACCAGAGCCAGAGCAGGGAATAGAACAGGCAGATCAGTCTGGTTCTTTAAATTTAGGGTCTGTGATGAATTGAGTTAATTTTTGCAAACAGCATAATTTCTTATTCATGTTGCTATACAATTTTTACAACACCATCTGATGACAAGAAAGTTGTATTTTTAATAATTAAGATGCTATCAGTGCTATACTGTTCACTGTTTCAGAGGCTGGCAATTTTCAAATAGTGATTTCATTTTTTTCAGTATTTAAAGATTTTGGTGTGGAAGATGGCATTCTCTTTTTTATTGAAAAAATAAAAATCTTACTTCAAATGCAATAGATATTATCAAATTTAGATTAGTAAAGGTAAAAGAAATAGAATTGAACATTCAGAAAAAAACACATGTAACATATTAATACAGTTTATAATTTTAAAATGTTTGTTGTCTTTATAAATATCTTTCTAGACATCTATCTATAAAAAAGCCTTTAATGACTGCATGATATACTACATCGGAAAGAACTGCAAGTTATTTAACCAAATATCTTTGATACAAGGTTTCAACACTGCACTGTCCTATCAGGTAGGCACTAATAACAAGTAGAAATTTAAACTTAATTAAAAGTAAAATTTAAAATGCAGTTCCAATATCATACTAGCTAAATTTCCAGTGTTCAATAGCCCCCCAAAGCAGTGACTACTGTTTTAGATAGCACAGTACAGAATATTTCCCTCATCACAGAAAGCTCTATCGCACAGCACTGCTACAGAATGCTTCCAAATTATCCCTATATTATAAACTGCTCCACTGTTACTGTAAATAAACCACATACACACGAATTTCTGAAAACTTCTTCGGAATAGATGCCTAAAAAGTGAGTCACTGGTTCAAAGGGCATACAAATTTTCACACTTCTCAAAGCTCTGAATACAGACGTGTTTATTTGATTTATCAATTTAAGAGAGAGAAGTGTCTTCTGTTTAAAAGTTGCATTGATTTGATTAGGGAAATGGTTAAGTGAGAAAAGAGAGGGGCAAAGGACCAGTCTATGGAAATGCTACAAATACAGTAGCAAAAACTGTGGGCTCCTCACTTGAAGTGCAGCAGCACCAGCTGCCAGAGACAGGGTTTCTCCCTGCGTGGTCTCCATCCCCACACACTACATTGTCTCCATGCGTCGTATACCTTCACTAACATTAGGGCTAAAGATGAGCCTCTCTCTGGTTTATTGTCCATTGTGTTTTGCTTTTTCACTTGATTTTTCTGGGATGATCATCTTTCTCTTACGACCTTATGAGTTCTTATATAAAATATGTTCGAATATATTTCCATAGCTTGTTACTTGCCTGTAGTTATGACATGTAGGAGACTACTATTTATATATAGTAAAACCTGAACCTTTTCTTTATGGTTTTTGTTTCATGTGATCTGCTCACAAGAGACTTTCCTGATAATACACTCAACCATTTTTAAATACTTTTATGGTTTTACTTTCTACAATTAGTTATGCCACTATATAAATCTATAACTGGCACATGATAGAGGGAAGGAACATAATTTTCCCCAATGGTAGATTATTTCCAAATCATAATGTAACTGTAAGGGAAAAGATTTATAATAAAATTCACCCAAATTACTGAGTAGACATCCAAATGAGTTAGAGTTATCTAGAATAAGAAAAGAACAATTTTACATTTTAGAAATGTCACACTCAGGGTTTTGTTTTTTTCAGAAAGTACCAGTCTGACCCTGTCTTGACATTAGACCTTATATTTTCTTTAGATAAAAAGAGGAAATGAACTACTTATAAAGAATTTCAGAGAGGGGAAAAAATTTCTGATCTATCCCCATATCCATGAAAGATACACAGTAACTCTACTGACCAATCAATTTCCTTTCATAAAATAGACAATTTTCTTTCAAGAAGCCTGAAAGACATTTCCACGGCCAATGTTTTCCTGCTCCTGGTAGGAAATGTCATCTTCTGCATATATAAAATTAAGTGAACGATACTTTTATCTTTTTTTTACTACTTCTCAAAAGGGCAAAGTTACAAATTCTATTTGTTTACTTTTACCATATTTTAGGAGAGAATCCATTGACAAACTCATAATTTAATTTATTAAAATTCCATAAGCCCCACATTGCCACAAAGACATTATTATTTTTTGAAAATCAATTTCTCCAAAGATCAATTTTAAAGCTCTAAAGAATTACCTCTCCCAAACCAAAACCCTTTCCCTGAGATAGAGAGATCACCTCTGCCACAGTCTCACATGGCAGTTGGGAAATTTCCCTACTATAACATTTACCTCATTATGTTCTAACTACTTCTAAGTGCATCTGCCTGCTCTGCTAGCCTGCACAGTCCCTGATTTTGACCAAGTCATACATATCCTTTCCCCATTCCCAGTCTTAATTTAATTCATTAAAATTAAAACTCTTAATTCATTTATCTAAGAACTTAGCAAAGAAAACTGGTAAATAATAGACACTGATACCTTCTTTTTAAATCAATGGGTGAACACAGCTGGTCAAAGAGCACCTGCCCTTTCTAGTCCTTCAACACAAGCACTTATTTTTACTATTCCTTTAACAGACACTTAGCCCAAGGAATGCTCTTATTTACATTTAAATATAAGGGATTAAAGTATAATCCTTCACAAATGCCACATTATATTTTAGCAAAATACTTACACATACATGAAATAAAATACCCTGTGTAACAGGGTATTATTGTTTCCATTTTATAAGTAGAAAAACTGAAGCTATAAGAAATTAGAAACTTGCCAAAGGAAAAGTAAGTTCAACTAGATAACAGGGTTACACACTGAGAGTTTCTAACTCTATGTGTGATGTACTTTGCACTACATCAAGCAAGAGTTTTATGATAAACAACTTTCTACCAAAGTATTAATAGTACTAGAAATACTTACACTGACCCCAGCGACCAGTTCTTGGGTTCAAATAATTTGGATAAAGACCATTTGGACGATCCATTTTCTGAAGTAGTTTTCTAATGTGCATGACCTAAGCAAAACAAGATTTAAAATGCAATTAACATAAACAAATGTCATTGAGGCTTTATATTAATTTAGGTTTTATGGGTCTTTTTTCTTTTACAGAACCAACTCCACCTCCCTTGCCTTTGTTAGTATAAAGTTTACATAAGGTTCTCTGAAAAATAAAATATTTCCCTATGTCATTTTAATTAATGACTATAACCATAATTTATTTTCATTGCTGTATTGAGTTTTATTATATAAACTGCTAATACAAACAATACTTCTATCTCTATGATGTAAATGTATACACCAAAAGTGGAAAATCTGGGTTATAGCATATATCTATTTTAACTTTATTAATTTTGTCTTTTAAATTTAGGCCTTTAGGGCCTCCCCTGGTGGTGCAGCGGTTGAGCACTGGGTTGCGAAGCTGCCTGCAGCTTCTGCATCGCCGGTTCAATTCCCGGCCACGGGTGAGGGTCCCACATAGCGCGCAGACCTCTCCTGCTGCCCACTGCTCCCCTCAGCAGTGTACTTCGGTTCTTCTGCCTGTTCTGCTCCCCGCTCTGGCTCAGGTGAATTCTCTCACCCTCCCACACTTCTGACTGTACCCAGTGCTTGTATAAATAAATAAATAAATCTTTAAAAAATAATAATAAAATAAATTTAGGCCTTTAAGTGCCTATTATTAACTGTTATAATCTACAACAAGCTTGTCATATCACAGATGCTTTCACACACAGATGGTTCTAAGGTCTTTGCTGACCATCAGCCACACTGTCAGTGTTGATAAAGGAAATAATGCAAATCTGCCCAACATATTTTTTCTTCAGTAGCATCTGAAATGTTTCCTTTATATATAATTTCAAAAGTTTCTTGCCATATTCCATTAAAATAAAGTCACTGATGATTTGAAGGGTATTGAATCAATGCTACAGAACAACAAGGAGATGACTGGATTTTTCATGATACTGCTTACTGTACCTGAACATGATACATCTCTTCATTTTTAGATTCTTCTCAATGCCATTCAATAGTTTTGAGCTTCATCTTTCATTAGATTTATTTGTAGGAAACATACTTTTGTTATTACCATGTAAGATATGATGTTTACTTTCTCATTCTTTTTAAAAATTTTTCATTAAAGTAACACTGGTTTGTAACATTAAGTTTCAGATGTACAGCATTTATCCCTTTTTTGTAAAATGATATTTTCTTGCCCATTATAGCTGATGCAGAAAAATCCTATTCATCTCTAATATCTAATAGAGCTTTTATTTAAATATACAGTTTTTTGCTTTTAATAATACAAATGTAGGCTCTCTTCATATTGCAAATAACCACGTAGTCTGTGAATAATGGCTATTTCTTTTTTGATTCTTAGACCTTCTGTTCATTCTGTTTTCTTTGTCTTCTCATGCAGTCCAGCATTTCAGTACAATGTTAAGTATCAATGACAAAGGGATTTTAAAAAAGCCTACTCATGTTACAACCTCTTGAGTAACAATATTTTTAAAATGTTCAAAATAGAAAGGACACTTCTTTAGATAATTTTAAAAAAAGAATAAAAGGCCAGAATACTGATAGACATACTTCTAGAAAGGCAAACATTTTAAAAACATGAATCAAGTCTTTGGGTAAACCATAGAGGACCCTACAATAAAGCAAAGCAAACAAGGAGACTCGCCTTTTTGTAGTAAACTGGGTCTCCCGTCAAGTAGCTGAGGTGGACGAACTCCATATGCAGAGTACCAAACTCAGCAAGGATGCTGCTGCCTGCAGATGCCCAGCCCCAGTTTCGCCCAACACCACTGAAGGGAGGCAAAGGTAAAAGCAGACTGGGTTAGAAAAAGACCAAAACTTTATTTTGATGAATACATAAATTTTAAATAAATCTCTCTGAAATAATTACATTTAACATAAACAGCTTATTTACATCCAAAGTAGTATTTTATTATTTTTAAATTCTTTTGAATAGGTAATACATTCACGTGTTTTAAAAATCAAAACAATATAGAAATTTATATTATAAATAGATTTTATTTCATCTTCATTTCTCTTTACCTTACCAGGTCCCACATATAAACACCTTCATTAGCTTCTTATGTATTACTACAGAATTTTTAATGCATATATAAACAATTCAAATATATATTCTTCAAATACACTAAAAGGTTGCCAATACAGAATTAATTACATGAATTATATATATTTAGATAATGTATGAATTTTCACACAGGCACTGGAATGGCTGTAACTGAGAGAGGGAAGTGAAGGAAGAAGAACGAGGTTAGAGAACCAGATGTAATCCAGAATACACAAGGATTTTGCAGGCTGTGGCAAAATTTTAAAATTTATATTCGAACATAATGAAAATCCATGGATGATTTCAAGAAACATACTTTCTTTTATCATTTAAGGAATAAAGTATGCCATTTGGGGAGAGTGCAAGCACAGGGAATGGGTGACAGCATGCCTAAGTATAACACAAAGCACCTACTAAGTCCAACAGGTTACTCGTCGCTATAAAAACTTACTGGCCACATGAACCAAATGAAAGCTTCATTCACAGTGCATTTAAACACTTTTCAAATACTAAATTCTAAACAACACTTTTTGTTTTTTGTTTTACATATAGCCTCATGGGAGCAATCATTAAATCTGAGCCTTGGTGGGGTTTAACATACACCTGAAGGGTGTGATCCTAAACTTCAAAATCGCCTACAACGTTGTAAACTGATGCTACTGCAATAAAAAAAAATTAAATATGTACAAATTCCCTAAAAATACAACTAAAACTGACACAAAATGAAAATAAAATATGAATAATCGCATATATACCATATTATATTATTGTATAATTTAAATTCATCATAAAATAACCACAAAGAAATTTTCTGGCCCCAGATAGTTACATAAGTGAACATATCAAACATTTATGAAGTAACACCAGTATTAAAGAAATTCTTTCAGGAATGAACAAACGAAAGAAAGACTATGTCCCACCACCTCATCTTACGAGACCAGATAACTTTTTTTTTTTTAAGATTTATTTATTTGTGCATACAAGAGCTGGGAAACAGGCCAGAGAGGCAGGGGGTCTGAGGATTCACCAGAGACAAAGTGAGGAACAGAACAGGCAGATTAACCGAAGTACACTGCTGAGGGGAGTAACGGGTGAGTCAGGAGAGGTCTGCTGTGCCATGTGGGTAGCTCCCTGGCCGGCTGGGGATAGAACTCGTGCTGCAGAGGTTACGGATTGCTTCACAGTGTGGTGCTTAACCCCTTGTGCCACCAGGGAGGCCCAAGACCAGATAACTTTAATACCAAATAGAGTTAAATATAAAGAGAATAATACTCCTTAGACACGGAATATCCCAGGAATTCAAAACTGATCTAACATCTGACTGTGGCAAATAAATTGTAAAAATATGATCATCTCCATCAATGCAGGAAGAAATGCATCTGGCAACCTGATAAAAGCAATTGATAAAAATCTACAAATAACATCACACTTGCTGAAATTTTTAAAGGAAGTATTATTATACAAACCTGTTTTGGAAATCCATAAGACCATAAAACTTAAGTAGAGACAATATTTTTTATCAAGATTGTAAACTCAAAAGTTATAAAAGACATAGTGCCTGAAGTGAAAAGGTTACACTTAATGTTCAGTATTAAATGCTTGTTTCTGAATGTAAATCTAAACTCATGAAGTTCTGCATTAGCAATAAACAGCTTAAATGAATTAGCTTTTTCAAATAATAACTGTCACAGAATCATTCCTCTCAAAAAACAAATGTTCCTAATTTTTATTCTAAAAGGTCTGGGGACAAACAGACCAAGAGTCAAATTTCTGCATAATTTTCAAGTTTCAGCATTAAGAGGGATAGTAAATTTTATTTGGAGAAAAAAATGAGCAGCAAAAATTTCAGTTAGCAATTATTATTTAAACGAAAGTTAAAATCTTTACAGTAGTCAAATTTTAGTTATAATCTGTGCATGTTTATAAAATTGTCCAAAGAAAATATTTCATCTATTTCTAACTGAAACAAGTGCTTTCTCCTAGAACAAAACAGACTGCAAAGAATGTTTTAAGAATTCACTTTGAACTTTAATAGTGTAAATATATACTAAGGACCCTACAAACATTCCACAGCAGAAGCCCTGACTTTAAGGCATACCATGTTCTGTTTTCACTTAAAAGAAGACCAACAAGCAGTGTGCAAAAAATCTGGAGAGATAACACTCTGAATCCATTATAGCACCAAATGTCAATGAATAAACAAATACAAGAAGTATTTTATAACCATACAGATGAAAAAGAGAAATCTATACTCAAACAGTTGAAACTGGAATGATTAAGACAGATTTAAGAATTGTTTAAAACAAAAGAATGTGGGCCTCCCTGGTGGCACAAGGGGTTAAGACGCAACCTATGAAGCTGTCCGCAGCCACTGCAGCAGGAGTTCAATCCCTGGCCAGGGAGCAGTTGCCCACATGGCACGGCAGACCTCTCCTGACTTGCCTGCTGCTCCCCTCAGCAGTGTATTTCAGTCAGTCTACCTGTTCTGTTTCCCACTCTGTGTTGAATCCTCTCCTTCCCCCACACCTCTGGCCTTTACCTCGGTTCTTGTATGCATAAATAAATAAATCTTTAAAAAATAAATAAATGAAACAAAAGAATGCATATTCAAAATCTGAAAATGTTTTCAAGATACAGGCTTCTACATATATGTACAGATTAAAAAATTAGTCTTAATAAAAAGTACAATGGGGTAGATCATTAGAAGATTTTAAGACTAAAAAGGCCAAAAATCAATCTTTTTTTTTCAGAATAGGAATAAGCACAAAAGAAAAATTTACCTTTTCAGATTCACCATTGCCCAAGGGATCCCAGTAGGTGTGTTAAAGGCAGGAAGGAGTTTCTCAGCCAATTGGACTGCCTTGATCTTGAATATCTGAGATATAAACATCAATATTCCTAAGTTATAGTCACCATGAAGCATCATGAAGCTGTTCTCTCAGAGGATGCACACCACAATGTATTGGTTACATGGAAGTTATGGAGGGGGTATGGGGAGAGGTAGCATCTCTTTGGTACTATGATATATACAGAGTAAGAGAAAATGTTTGCAAACTGGACACTGGTCAAGCTGCCCAATATGCAATGGTCTGAAACTATAACAAATTGAGAGGGAAGAATGCAATTTTAACATAAATATTATCTGTATTTTCAGCTGGCATAGAAATTTGAGAAAACATTTGTCTAGAAGTTTCCATTCATGGTATACAAACAGTACAAATATTAAAACAAAAAAGCTACAACTCAAATTTTAACCATTATTGACAGGAAAGAAAATATCTGAGTTCATAGTCCACGTTTATTTTGAGAGTTACAAATGCTCCATTCTTCAACCCCAACTGTACTTTTTTGGTAGCCAAAACAACTAAGTATCAGTGATTTCCAAACTTTTGAAATAATGTACTATTAACCAAGACAATATCTAGTAACATTTCTAATATTCTTAACATATTCCACAGATAGGTGTGTGGATCCTACCTCAGAGAGTATTAATTTAGAGACTCCAAACTGAGATAAGGTCATAACATCCTATTAGGAAAAGTGGCATGCTCTGTATGCCTCAAGCCTGTCCTCTCTCAAACTTACTTCAAATTCATTTAAGGTTCCATCCTTTCAGTGGAGTCAAATATTTTATTAGATTCTTAAGTAAGCAGTTGAAGGTCTGGAACAAATTCATGTTCTTAACTGAAATTATATTAAAGAACAAGAATACTATTGGGAGAAAATGTAAAGTTCCTTAAATAAGGTAAAACTACTTTTGAAGGTCTGGAACAGATCTAAGTTCTAAATTGAGATTATATTCAACAAAGCATACAAATACTACTGAGATAATTAATGGCATATTTTCTAATTTCCAACTACCTTGTATCATTAATAGCAACTGACATATACAGTTACTGATTATAGTTCATAGTACAAATAATATCACTGAGCAAAATTTCCTTATACAGTATATAATAATGCATATATAAAAAATACAAATTCTAATAATGTATATCCTCTATTTTCAGAAAAATTTTGGTAAGTTACTTTAAACAATTTAGTTTTTAATATGTAATGCATATTATTATTTCTCATACAATGCATGCCTTATTTGTCATAATCCAAAAAGCATTAAACTGAAATAAGAAGTCTCTGTTCCCATCTAATACTTCAACCACACAGTTTCTTTTACAATTCAAGTAACTACCAGTTTCTTAAATATCTAGTAAATATTTTGTGCTAAATAGGTCTATGGTATTTATGGTTCCTAGCTGTGTCACATCAAATCCTCATTTTCTTACCCTCCCAGAAATAGAAATTCTGTTATAGTTCACACACACACACACACACACACACACACACACACACAGTCTTTGTCTCTTTCTCTTTCAAACACAGAATATTCTATTCTGAGGGTATATAGTTCAAGGGTAGAGCATTTAACTGCAGAATATTCTTCTCTGACCTTTTCTTTTCTTTAGTGCTTCTTATAGTTTATGTGTTTGTGCAAGTGAGTGTGCATATATACTCACTCTCATGTATCTATCTCTATTGCCTATTTCCCAGTAGAAATGTAATCCATAGATGGATAGGGCTTTTCTTGTTTTGTTAACTATTGTATCTCAGTACTTAAAAGAGAGGTTAGCATATAATAGATGTTTATCAAGTATGAAGTCAAAGGAGAGAGAATATACCCATATTGTAATAAACAAGTAAATTATCTTTTTTCACTTCTATACCTCTTCTCATCTCTCATCTCTCTGAGATACCCAATGTTAACAAATAAAGGTTTCAAAGACTTTTTAAGTTATTTTACAAAAATGTTGGATGATGGTAATATATATAACTACAAACATATAGTAAACCAATTAATCCTCCTAACAACCCAATGAAGTATTATTACTCCCATTTTATGATGTAGGAAACTGAGTTAAACAATGAATAAGTTAATTTGTCTCAGTTCTAGAAACTACCTAAGTGTTCAAGGACAGGAAAATGTAGTGAGTCTGTGTTATTTATACATATACATATATGATACATATACATATATGCAATATATGTATATGGTTATCATGTATGTGTGTGTATATGTGTGATATATATATTATATATATATGGGGTAGAATGGAATACTATTTAGCTACATAATATGAATTATTATCATTTGCTACAACATAGAGGGGAACTGGAGAGGACCATGCTAAGCAAAGTAAGTCAAAAGGAAAAAGATAAATGGTTTCACTTACATCTGGAATACAGAGAAACAAAACAGTCAGACAGAACCAAAGCAGTAACAAACCCTTGACATATGACTACAAAACTGAGGCAACTAAAAGGGAGGATGACGAAGTGGGAGTGTGGAGGGAGGGAGCAGGATTTTGGAGACTTTGATGGTAAATATGGTGTGGAAACATACATTTGTAAACGTTTAAGCCTATAACCCCTAAAAAAAATGCAATGATGAAAAGCAATTTTGACCCCAATAAAAAATATCTTTAAAAAGTTCAACTTATCCAAAGTCATACAGCCAGTAAGAGGTAAACCTGAATTTAAACTCAGGCAGTCCAACTCCAGAATCTATGTTCTTGCTTGAACAGTCACTGTATTAGATGTAGATACAGATATAGTCATACACACACACACACAAAGACAGCCATACATATGTGTACACACACACACACACATTCCTACATCACATATTATTTAATCTTACCTTTTAGTTAATAATTCCTCAAAACATCTTTCTAATTTATTCCTCTTTACCTTCCTCTGGAGTGATAGTTTGGTTATTATAAAATTCTGGGTTGGCAGTTACTTTATCTCAGCAGTTTAAGGATATTACTCCAAAGACTCCTGAAACCTATTGCTACTAAGAACTCTGCTGTCAACTGTCATTCTTTTCTAAGTCCTTTCTCTGTGGTAGCTTTAATATTTCCTCCTCATTCTTGATGTCTTTTCAAATATTGATTTTCTATCATTTATTTAAACTCACCTGAGACTCCTACTAAACATTCTTTGAAATCCTTCAATCTATTTTGTATTCTCAACTCTTCTGACTCTGAATACTGCATTCTGGATGAATTTTCATTATCACCATGAATAGGAAAATCCTAAAAGACCAGGCAGGTGTTCCTTTGGACCCAGTGAAGGTTAACACAAAACCATAGTCTAACATAGAGGTGGAAACACAGTGACACACACCTCCCACTCAAAATGAGTCTGCAAACTATTTTTAAAGTCTTGATGAAATCTAAGATTTTATCATACTTACTTACAAGCTAAAAAGTTAGCCTGCCACCACAATTTATTTCAGGAATATTAAAAGATGATACAAGACTACTGGGTCAGAGAACAATGACTGTATTATTCATGGTAAAGGTGCAACAAAAGCTGTAATATTTATTTACATTAGTTGTACACGCCCCAGTCCTCACTCCTACCTAAATCCCACAGGGATGATCCAATGGGCCCATAATGAATCCCTGCACACAAAGTACACTGCATTACAGAAGATGAGCTTGGAGAATCTCATTTACAGCAATTGAAAGCAAGTCTATTGTTGAAGGTGAGACATTAACTCATCCCTGAAAGTATCACCCTGATGGCTAATCAGGGCTTTGCACTCTTGGTATTCCCACCGAAAGTATGCAGGGAAGCCCAGACCCCAATGATTGCTTTCCTAACTTGTCAAATCAGAAGCAACAGCAGTTCCTTCCTGTAGGAGCACCAGAATCTATCTTGCAGTTTTTCCAACTCTTGCAGAACTACCTTCATCACCCCCAACCCTCACTCCGAACACCAGCAGCAGGAGCGCCAACCTGCAAGCATACCTTCATTAAAGGTCTGAGTTTCAGCTTTACACAAGCCTTTCTCTTTAATTATCTAAGAATTAGTAATTAAAACCCTTCCTCCACATTCCCTCAGCCTTGGCTGCTTCCTGTAGGAGCCACCTCCACACTACCTTTTCTTTTTTTTAATCTAGCACTTGCCTAGTTAACTTTGTGTTTAGTTAGTAACTCTTTACATTAAATTCTCTCTTTTAAATTACTGGCTTGTTCAACTGAACTCTGATAAATCATCCCAACTTTGACATTATCTATTATTAAATATTTGCTTATTTTAAAAAACCAGGAAAATAGGGGGAAAAAAATCATACAGTTCCTCTATTCTGAACCTAATAATATTATTATTTTATAATTTCCATTCTCCCTTTTCCTATACATACATATACATTTTAAGTTGGATTTTTATTCTATCTTTTCCTGCTACTAACATCACAAGCACTTTTCCAATTTTTACAAAATTGTCTAATTTAGCATATCCATTTCCTCACCTCCCACTCACTCCTCAAACTATTTCAACATGGCTTTCTGTTTCTATCATCTCACTGAATTGAACACTTGGTAAAGTTAGTCACACATTTGAGTGAGTAAAAAGCATTTTTAGTCATTATTGACCAGTTCCTCCTTAAAATACTTTCTTCCCTTGTGTTCAACAATCCTAAAATCTCCTTGTCTCCTCACCAATTCATCCTCCTCGTTTCTGACCTTTAATGCTGTGTTTCTCAAGACTTGATTCTAGGTCCCCTTCCTATGCTAAACTGTCTCCCTGAACAATTTCACATGTGCTTGTTTTCAATTACTAGCTACAGCACAACTGGCTCACAAATAATTATTTCCAGTCAGGACTTCTCAAATAAGCACCAGATTCATTGTCTACCATCTATTTTCACCCAAAGATATCAAACTCAAAATACTTAAAATGAACTGATGCAATTCCTCTCTCAATCTAGTATTCTCAAAGTGTTCAGTATCTGATAATCATCCCATCAACTGTCTAGTGCCAAAACACATGTAGGGGTGAACACAGAGACAGAGCCAGCTTCTCTTTCTG